TTTCTTAACACCCATCTATGGTTACATGTAGAGTGTCTATTAGTGGATGGTTGGGTATTAAATAAGAGATGCATATTAAATGCAGGAACTGCAAACGAGCATTTCATAGATCAATACTTAAATTAATACAAGAGCTGCTTTTAAGATTTTTTTACCGGCCGTTAAACGTATATACAGGGTGTTAGGTAAATGGGTATATGAGCCGACACTAGCCCATGTTAACATGGGCATATAAATGGTATGGTGAAGTCAGAAATTTGATATAATCATTTTTTATTTTTTTATTTTCATACAAAATAAATTTTATAAAATCCGATTTGTATGAAAATTAAAATAATTAAAATGAAGATATCCATTTTCTGACTTCACCATACCATTTATATGACCATGTTAACATGGGCTAGTGTCGGCTCATATACCCATTTACCTAACACCCTGTATANTTTTTTTATTTTCATACAAAATAAATTTTATAAAATCCGATTTGTATGAAAATTAAAATAATTAAAATGAAGATATCCATTTTCTGACTTCACCATACCATTTATATGACCATGTTAACATGGGCTAGTGTCGGCTCATATACCCATTTACCTAACACCCTGTATATATATATATATATATATATATATATATAATATTAAATTAAACATTGCTCTTTGACATACATACGAGTATATTATAATCATCAAGTACCTACCACTTATTTCTCCGACCTCAATGGCTACTACCCCGGCTGATGTAAAGTAGGGTACTTAATGTGATTATAACTTACAATATCTATAATCAGGTGTTTTAAGCGAACCTTTATCAAAAACACTCAACCTAATTTAATCTAAACGCACAATCAAATGCCCAAATAGCCAATTACTAATCTAAAGGACGTATCCTCGATTGACACCACCAGACCGTGTCTTAACTACAACAATATTCAATAAACAAAACTATAAAAAATACTTACCCACGCGCCCTAACTAAATACCCATTACTCCACATTAATACCGATAAGAAAAACTCCCTTTGCGCTAATTAAAAACTTGAGACAGAAAAAAGCCGCCAAAGATCATAGATAAAGAAAAACAAAAAGCTAATAACAATAAACAATAATAATCGACCACAAACAACAAAAAATGGCTGCCAGTGTGGGGGAGCGCGTCACCTGTCATTGCTCTGGGTTTTTTTAATCGTCGACGCGGAAGAATTATTTGACCACACATCATTTGGGCCAATCCATTCGCAATTAATGGAACAAATGGTGTGAATTTAATAAAAAAGACAAAAGCTTATAATGTCGTAGGCAGTCAAAGCTGTGGGTCGAAGCTTAGGTACTTTTGTTTAATTCTTGCCCGTGGAAAAAACAGTTCAAATGAGCAAAATAATTACCGTGATACCTACTGAATATGAAAATTCGAACCCATTACGATCATATTACAAGTAGATTCTAAACGAATATTTTTAATGTCGTTATCTTGTTTTAAGATGTTTCTCTACACTCTGTATAAATGGAAAATTACAGATTCGTGATATACCGTTCCGCTTCGGGTGTGAAGCATCTAGTTTTTGGTGAAAAATTACAAAATTGTGGCCCAATTAATATAAAGTTCAGTCAGCTTTTAATTAACCAATATCTCATTAACGCTGAATACTGATCCGTGAGTGTGAAATAACGCACGCAATCATCCACGCACAAATTTATTTTATGAAGGCGTTGAGCATAGGGCTGTCATCCATCCGCACTGAAAAATATTTTGGTGCTCATCCTTTAGTTACCGCTCACACAAAAAAAATCCTCACACTGGGTAGACCGACGATCTGGTGAAGGTCATGGGAAGTACCTGGATGCGGGCAGCGCAGGACCGGTCGTTGTGAAAATTCGTGGGCGAGGCCTTTGGCCATTCGCTGAAACTAACGAGTGTTACATACGAGTACTTAGTAAAGTTCAGTTAGCAAGTATTAAGCTCGCTTTAAACGGCTGAGCTTGTTTCACAAAAGAGAACAGTTCATCCATTCATTTTTTTCAGGCGGATTACAGTTTTCAGCCAGTTTGATGAGCGTTTGGCCTTTGCCAAATATTGTTCAAACGAAAACTGAAAGTGACTGAAAACTGAACTTTTATGAGAGTATTGCACTTTGATATCTGGAAAAATAAAGGTGAATAATGTCCCTGAAAATGACTGGTTATTCAGTGTTATTTAGCCAATGATTGAGAATCTACATAAATGCAAAAAAGTTGAATAATTGACAGGCGTGGTACTTAGAGGTAGCATATTATTATATCAACATAATAAACGTCAAATTCATATCACGATCTAATTGTTTAACTTATTTTAATACCCAAAAAAGTTTGTTTATTAATTTGCCAACCCTACTCTGAAGTATTGTTTTGCGGCTCACGAGAAAATGTTATTTAAACTTAAACGAAATGAACGCAGAATATCCGTTTCCAAATGGATGATAAAAAATGTTCCGTTAAATAATAGAATAATAATTATATTATTTACGTCTGTAGAGTGTAGGTCCTTAGAAAGTTACAACGTTCCATACGAGTGTTTTATTAAGCCTCTTCAGAAACATACCTATTTAATATTTTGAGCACGTAAGAGCGAATGATAATTAGGTAGGTGAGTGGTGTTCTTTACGAAAAGACGGCATTTATTAAAAGCCTCTTTACAACAAACGAGCAAAAAAGCTTCTCAATAGTACACCTAACAACATTACCTAATAATACATTTTTATATGATGGTTAGAAATAATAGTAGGCACAGTGTCAGACACAGTTACGGGATCTCATCTCGATATATTGTCACTTCAGCTACAAACTTAACTGTTTTAACAATAATTAATTGATGTGATAGGTGATGGTGAGCCATTTATAAATATGTGCTAAGTATTAAACATTGAATATATCAATACCAGGTAAAGAAGTATCATAGCCAACACAGCACGGTTCATTTTCACAAATCCGAATTGGTTTAGCAGAATGCACTATTTGTAATTTAATATATCGAACTTAGTCGCCATTTCACAAGCGCCGCTTAGTTTTGGCTGCTTAATTGGTGTTCATAGAATTTGGAACAATATCATTATTTATGTGATTAATGTGTTTTTAACTGTGATTGTTCTGACAGTAAAATTTGTGCTGCGATAGTGACTAGGAACAGGTTGTTTTGTTTCTGTTTTGTTTAGTATGCTCCTTTTCAGGCTAAATTTCAGGTGTACCTAGCCATTATTTTAGTTGCTGGTATTTTAGTGGATTCAAATGAACTTTGAAAAACATATAAATTATGTTTATTATGTAACTTGTTCCATGTTTATGTGGTTGATACAAATATTTATGTGATAGTTTTAGTTTGATAGTGACAGAGTTTGCTTGAATATTACTGTCTATGATAAGACTGCCATTCAAACTATTCGTCCCGCTGGAGCAATATCAGATGGTGCCGAGACTAGGATTGCTTTAGCTATGATTAGAAAAGAAGCAAGGACTAACCATCCCTATATTCTACTCTTTGATTTGATAAAATTGCCTAGGTAATCGTCATAAATTTTAGTTGAAAGAATACTCCAATATTTAAATCAATACTAAAACCCAGACATGCTCTTACCGATCTGCAACTAGCACGTTCATTATGCAAAGTTGTTCCGATACTATTTTTAAAAAGCCACGAGCGAAGCGAATTTCCGACAGTGGAGATCATTGATACGACACGTAAAAATGTTTCAAGGACTCTCAGTTCTCATTATCGCCGTCACGCGCGCGCACAAGTGGCGCTGTTGGCCCAACACAGCCCTTGCGCGTTTTGATTAAGGCTGGAGCCGTGTGAAAGATAGAGTTATATCGCCCAATATTACGTCACAATTCAATGATAATAGACAAGAAAATACAATAACAGGCAATTATATTATAATAGAGGTCCTTTTTAGTATATTTCCCCTTTTCCGAAACTAAATGGAATTGTAGAATTAAAATTTGCAACTCGTAACGACTTCCCAGAATTAAATACTAGATTAATATAAATGGAAATTCATTTCACCATAAATATGATTCATATTCGTGTACTTACTTCGATAAAAATGTAAAAGTTGATGCAAACTTAATTGAAACCATTTCATATAACATTCGAAATACAACCCGTAAACCAAACAAAATCGGAATGAAAAACAAAATGCCTTGATTGATGTAACTAACGTTCATCGTAAAATGAATACGCCGGCATAACTCATAAAACGCTTTGTTGCTATAAACGAAATTGCTTCCGAGCGTAAAACAAAAAGCACGTGAACTAACAAACGCTTAAAATCCTGTGCAACGATGAAAACCAACAGTAGCGAAAATTCACAGAAAAGAAAACAAAAACCGATCGTCGAAACACCGAAAAGCGGGAAACGTCGTGATGTGCCGTGCATCGATTACGCAGAAACAAATGCAGCGCGTCCACTGGAATACAGGCGAGTGACGTCCACACTCCATTCAGCCAGTACCATGATTAATCGTGTCGAGAAGTCACACAACCTGAATTCACCTCAATGAGTGCCTCGCATTTCGACGCTATAAAGAATAATCCAGACTGCGGACCCCAAAAGGCGACCGAACTTATAAACCGGACTGCCTCCCGCTCACTCCTGCGGGATCCCTCGTCGCAGGAAAGAGACAAGGGGAGGTTTGACAGTGCGTCGTCTATTCATTAGGCGTGATTACGCCACGGGATGAATTGACATCTGGGACGTCGGGGGAAGGCGCCCGTGCTTTCCCTCTGAGGTTTCTGCTAAATTTTAACGGATCGAGTTCTATAAAATATGTATGTATATTGTCGCCGTGCACGTTTGAAGCTAGCACTTAAATGGAACAGAAAAGGCGAGTTGCGAAAAACCGGGATAAGAGCTGCAAAGGTGTTTATGAATGATACATTGCTTAATTACACGTGTAAAGCTTTCATGAATTCGCTTTGAGAATTCGCTGGGCTATTAAAATATAAGTACAGGTACGAGTACCTACTTACCAAGAGCGGTGCTAGCCATCCTCATAGTCTGGACCTGCATGTCTTCTATGGACCCTTGAGCCAATTTTCTCTTCCTAGGACGACCTTTGGGGCTCGGGCCTCCTGAGTAGAATTGAGATGGGGAGTCTCCTTCACTGTGTAACTCTTGGCACCTGATAAAGAGATTTTCCGTGAAAATCTAATTCACGTTTCAAACATTTTGTTAGAAGCCGGACCGTCTACGCAAACAATAATAACTTTAAATAATATTACTGAAATTTTTATACTTAATTCAATTTATTTTAACCTGATCACTGGAGAATTATTGAGTTTCAGGATTATAACAATCAAAATAGGCAAACATTCATTTGTAATTTTGGCATTACCTATTCAACATGAAGAATCGGCCACATAAGTTGAATATTGGTGACTCAAATAACAACTAATTTTTAATCGCATGTTACAAGAGTTGGAAAAATTGGAGAGAGAGGCTCCTGCAGTGAAGACTAAATAATCAGGTGATGGTGATAAAACATTATCAATCATCTCACCTATAAACACTCATATCGTCTTCGCAGTAGTCATCAAAGCACGCGTTATCGTAATGTGGTCTGCAGTACACGAGGCCGTCCCTCATTCCAAAGACGTCGCCCTTAGACAGCAGGGTCCCACAGGCCACGCAGGTGAAGCAGGTCAGGTGGTAGACCATCTCGCGAGCCCTCATCACAAGCTCGTTGGCCGTGATTCCGTTGCCGCAGCGAGCGCAGCGCTTTACGCAGAACAGTCTGAAACAAGGATCTGGATTAAAAGTAGAGAAGGGCATAAGTCTGCCAATCTTACTTTCCTTGAGCAGAGTTTAAATAAATAAGGATTAATTTTACCCATCTCTAATAAAATTACAGGTAGGCTCAATAAAGGCTCGTTTCAATTCGTGATCAATTGAATGAGTAATTGGAATTTTTATTAGAACTTCTATTCCGACAATTGCTTCTACTAACACAAAAGGTTCTCGACACAAATCCCCTCAGTCTGAGTCCCTACAAAGTTCGGTGTAGTTAAGCGGTGCAAATAAAACTTTCACCGTGGATTACAATTTTGAAGCTTTACTTAGCGCCTCTCTAGTGGAAAAGGCTTAGTGGAGCGAACATACAGCGGATATAGACACTATGCGCGGGGTATGTGCGATAAAAATTGAAAATTTCAAAGACTAACGGTGTTTATTAGCGCACCACTTTGCATCTTTGAACGTTTGCATCTTTAGTGATAGTGTCGCGTTGTTTCACAAATTCTCAACGTTTCAGCTAATAAATAAGCTTCTGAGCTATCTGTACCTGGTGAATGCAGTCAAATCGGAGTTTTATGCAATGAATGACTAAAAGATTTGCAGTAATACACGTTATTCTAGCTAGAAGAATCATGACCTAAAAAGTTAATCACTTTTTATATTAGAAAAACACTAGGATTATTTTACTGAATTTTTGGAACAAAAGCATAAAAGAACGTGTTTCAAATTAACCGTGTAATTCCCGACCCTCTGAGTACTTGTATTAGGTAAGATTCGTTTGTTTACCAGATTCCAAAAATAACAAAAAATAAGCGTGGGGTGTAATCATTTCCCGATAACACTCAATTGCAGGTTTTATTTCTTTACGCTACGCGTGTCGGCACTTACGTGGATTTACGAAGAAAACACAGTTAGGCACTCATCTGGAGTTTAATATTTCCGGGAAACGTGTACACGATAAACCTCGGTTTAATATTTCTCAGAATTGGTGCAGCTGTTCTCGGTATTGCAACCTACCAACGTTGTTTACAAACAAAGTCACACATCTTGACCGATCGTTAGCATTTTATCTATTACTTATAATAAATCTGTAGAGAGGTCAGTTCTGTACATGAAATATATTTTCAAAATAACCATCAGGGGGTGATTAGTGATCGATACTGATGCCAAAAATGGAATCAGTAAAATTTTTGTCTGTCTGTCTGTCTTTCTGTCTGTCTGTCTGTCTGTATGTTCCTTATAGAAACAAAAACTACTCGATGGATTTTAACAAAACTTGGTACAATTATTCTTCATACTCCTGGGCCTTACCTTAGTAAACTTAAAGCTTAGTTACAACAAAGAATCCCCGAAATTCTCACCGGAACGGGAATTAGCGGGAAAATCTTTTGTATGAAAAATCTAAACCGCTTAAGTTAGATGCTTGAAATTTGGTATGTGGGTACCTTAATAAACTTAAAGCTTAGTTACAACAAGGAATTCCCATAATTCCCACGGGAACGGAAATTAGCGGTAAAATCCTTTTGTATGAAAAATCTAAACCGCTTAAGTTAGACGCTTGAAATTTGGCATGCAGGTACCTTAGTAAACTTAAAGCTTAGTTACAACAGGATATTGCAAAATTCCCACGGGATCGGGAGTTAGCGGGAAAAAACATTTGTAGAACAGATGAAGGGGGTAAAACGGGATCCACGCGTACGAAGTCGCGGGCGGCCGCTAGTCGTGAATAATGATTGCATTTGAGGCAGGTACTTTAGGTAATATTAAAAGATAGAAAAAGGATTAAACCCGAAATGAGAATTTGTGGATGCATTAGTCATCCACTATCAGACAACAACTAATAAGAACTACTTACTTGTTGATATGTTATTTACATTATTTCTAGAGTTCTAGTTCTTCTAGAGTTGTCATTATGCGAAGTTGACCATATGCGAATTTGTCATTGTGAGAAATATACATTAAAAGAAGTAGTCTTTTAGCGAAGTTGACATTTTAAGAAGTTGTCATTTCGAGAAGTGGAAATTATGCGTCCAGCCCCCCTAGACAAAACGCACTTTTTGATCGAATCGAAAATCGAATCCGTCAAAACTCCATACAAAAAAGGGGCTTTTCGACCACTTTTCGACTGGTTTGCGATAATAATTTGCACTTTGTCTAGACCCACTGGTGTCATTTTGAGAAGTTGTCATCATGAGCTGAAACGATTTATTAGACTGATTCTTAAGAAACTATCAACTTTAATTTAAGCTTGAAAATTAGTGGGTTGGTTGAGTGACTTCACACCTAGCGAACACGGACAAAGTTTTGGCAATAGATGGTTGAAATATAAATTTAGGAGGGTTGATATGACTTTGAACGCCGAGAAACTAGATACTATAGAAAATGTTTTGTTCTAAAGTTCAGGTGAGTCAGACGTGTTAAAGTGCTCCAGGCCATTATAGCTATAGCTAGCTTACGAGTAGTTACTAGGGGCTCAAGGCTTGAGGAAAGCAGTTTTCAATCGGGCTATTAATAAAAAATTTGTAAATCGTTTCAAAACTGATAAAACTTTTTACTGTTTGGGACGTGATTTTTTATTGTAAAAATAATATTTTACGATGAAAATATATTATGAGTTACAAGGAAAATATGGTGGCGATAATATTAATGAACGTGCCGGCAACTATCGTTGCAGGGCTGTCATATGAAAATGTTGAAATTGGAAGCGGCCGGTAAAGGTAATAGGACTGGCCGACTCGAAATTCGAGGAACGCTAGTTCGAGCCCCGCCGCGCCGCTCGTCTATTGTGGTGAACCCACTCATAACACAAAGTTAGTACGAGGGGTTAAAGGGGCTTTATAGTAATTGTGCAATACAAATTACTAATATTCTTTATAAATAAATCATTAAACTTGCCTTATAGAAAGCCGGGTTATCTGTATTCCCCTAAACTGATTGTTACTAATGCCCGAAGGATAGCTAAATGATTTTACACCCGTCAATCACTCCCAATCATTTGTGAGTAATCGCCGTACTCATCAGACCCTTAGTACAAAATTATACCATATGTTTGCCATGGGGCCCCTTATCACACGTCAGCGTGACCCTTGACACTCCGATAACTATGTTACTACCGACATGTTTTTGTTTGTGATAAAAAATAATAGCGCAAATTGATTATTCGGACTAGCTGTTGCTGCGTATTCACCTGTGATGTACCTATTACTATTCTAATGCACGTTTGTCTTTGGAAATAACTTTCGTATACTTACTTACACATTTTAAAATTGTAGTCATTCGGATATTTACTTTCACATTGTTAAGTAAGTTATCATTGTTTTTGCATTTGGTTACCTCATTATTGATTTCGGGTTTTTCACTTTTATTGATATTATTATTAGTAGGCCGAGGTAAACTTTATGACTTCTACTTATTTTATACGAGAATCCGTTAGAATACCTATTGAGAACATTCGATGAGTTCATAATAAAATGATAAGTATCTAAAATTATACATACCTACCTGTGTAAAATACTGCTACTCCTAGAACTATAAGCTGATAACATTTTAACAATTTGAAGCAATAATATGCAAAGTAAGGTTTGAGTGTACAATAAACACATGACACACCATAAACGAACAAATATCGTTACACCGTCTTGACAGGTGTGGGAAACAACAAATGTGGACTAGGAAAAGCAGGGTACCCAGCGTACTCCCCTTGATAACCCCATGTCAATAAAACTACACATGCCATGTGTACCTGTTTGATGTATCAGGAAATCAATCTTTACTGCTGTTGACTTTGGATTATTTGCCGAAAATTTTGAAATACAGACCAATTATTTTCCTGCTAGAGTAAGGACGTTGCGTAGTAGTCACTTCGAAACGAAGTCCTGTTTTCTAATGTCGCGCAGTGCAACGTGCTCCATACGAAATGGTAACCGTCCATTATTGCATGGTATGAACGCAGCCTAAGAAAGCTTTAAAAATTGCAACAAATTCGCCTTGGCCAATACAATAGGCAAGATACAGAAATTCGCAATTTTCGCTAAATACAAAGATACTTTAAAAAATGTAACTTCTACCACAACGTTAACAACTTCTATCAGATACATAGGTAAGGAGGTATTCCTCCCTCATCTGAAAACATTTTGTATAGCTATCTCACCTATAGTAGTCTTCCTTGCAGTAGATATTTCCGTCTCGTGAGAAGCATGTCAATTCCGTATCGAGGGGCAGTCGGCATTCGCAGCAGCGGAGACAAGCCCCGTGCCACTGGCGGTCCACAGCAAGAAGGTAATATCTGCGAAAAATGCATCTGGTGAATATGGGTATTTCTTCGGAGGCAAAATTTTCGATGTCTTTGGGTATAGTTCTGTAACCAACTAACAAAATGGCATGCAATATTTTTTTTCGTATAGCTTAGCTATAGCCCTATCTGGCGCAAATTACATGTTTGACATAATNACAATTTCGAAGAAGTGCCCATATACAAAAACATCCATTCCGACTTATCTTTAAGATGCAAGTAATCTCAAAAACCTGTCTGCTCGTCTACCACCTATCACATAAAAAAAGAAAGCAATAGCTTCAGCAAATCTTCTTAGTGTAAAGATGTTATGGAGTTATTACCATATCACAGATCATTTGCTTAAATTTTCACGACTGGAGAAAGATTTTCTCCGTATTTTCAAGGCCTGTCCTTGAGTCGCATTCCCAAGAAGAAAATCCATCAATAAATTCTCGGAAACATCCTAGAGCCAGTTCCGGGAAGCCGTACCTACACTAACACAAGTAGTCTAGACTAAAACACTTTTTTATCTATATATATAAAAATGAAACCCGTTTCGCGTTGTCACGGCATCACGTGTGAACGGCTGAACCGATTTCGATAATTCTTTTTTTTAAATGTTTGTGGAAGTCCAAGGATGGTTCTTACGGAAAAAAATATTAAGAAAATCTCTACGCTAAGGCGGTACGAAGTTCGCCGGGTCAGCTAGTTTACTATAATATTGCTTTTTGTACTTACGTACTCCAAATATTTTCGGTAAGGTGTGTTAACTACACGTGTGAAATGAAACTACAACTATGGAAAATTTCATTCATTTGTGAAAGACAAATAACTGGGAGCAACTTTAGTTCTAAGTTTTGGATGTCTTAATATACCTAGTATAATACACCAGACGAACTCACCTGTCCTGAATTCGTCCCCCGCACCCCGCACACTCGTCCGGGGCGGCCGGCGAGCCCTCCGAACTTTCCCGTTCCTTCAGCATAGCTTCCTGATCAGTGGTGCCCCCCGAAGTGGACTCTGAATCTCAAATAACAAGGTTCAGTTCTCGTGTAGCAGTCTCCTCGCCGTTTTGAAGAGCCATCGTGGCTGCCATTTGCTTTTTGTGACCGAAAACTGGATGGACCTGTTGGCAAGGTTAGGTTTTATTGAATTGTTGTAAACAATGGAGGAAAGGATAGAGGGCATCCGAAACTTGTGTATATGAAGGGTGCATAAAAAATTATGTAGTAAATTCTATTTAAATAAAACTTTTTAATAAAAAAGGAAAATTATACATTTAACTAGACCTTTCAGATATTTACAACCAAAATCAAAATAACCCGCATATTTGGGGCGTTGATGCTTGATGTATTTAGAGAGAGCAAAGTCGTAGACTGAAGATAGTGTATACCTTATACAAAATACACGAACAACCGAGACAAACGCGGTAAAGGAATCAAATAGCATAATAATAACATAAATATTTATTATGTATAAATATTTAGTACATAAGCCCGGCCTGCTTAGCATAGAGTTTATTATTCAGCAGCAGCCTCTTTCGATATACAATGGCAGTTCTATAGCGACTGCTATAGAGGTTTCTATAAGTTCCTATAGGATTCCGAAGTCCCTTTCATTCCAAGACAATGGGCGAGCGAATGGTCCTACTTTTGTTTTAAAGGTGGCTTGTTTTTTTTTTGACATAGGTAGATAAAGAGTTATGTTTGCAGTTCTTTATTTAGTTTTGGATAATCTTTTGTTTGAATGTCCGAATGATCTATTGTGGGTTTTATATTTAAATATACGTATATTAAAAAGGCTCTCTTAATGAAACCAAGTATGGGCATCACCACCCATATCAGTCAGTCAGTCGTCACCCAGGACCAATATTAGGACCTATGCTATTTTTTTAAATAAAATTAGTTTATATGCTGTGACTGGATATAGGCACAGAATAATAATAAGTACTACGTACAGAAGTTTTACTTCGCGAAGGTATTTAAAAAAATGTATGCTCAATGACATTAACAATATGGCGTAATTTAGCCTGTCTCAAGAGTCAAGCACCATTTTGTTGACAAACGTCAGTGATCGGCACTGCGCCGAAGCTATAGGGTAGACTTCGGTAAAATGATGTGACGTGAGGTGCCAAACTGCGGAAAATGGCGGAGAAAATACATGATTTAGCATGAATAATAATTATCACGTATAATATTAACTACTTATTTACCTCTCAGTGTCTTGAGGCAACTTAAAAAAGTACATTCTGTTTTTATTATTATTTAGGCAGTTAAATACTGCATAGTATTTAGTAGGTACACCATGCGTGAGTCAATGTTCGCTCGTATGTGAGGCCTTGTCGAATAGTATCCTGTAGGTGGGCCATCGGGCGTGTTTTGTTTTCGATGTAAACTCGCGGAGATGAACAGGCCTGATATAGGCTAGAAACACATTCTTGAATATTAAGCCTTCAACTACAAAGTAAAATAAAAGTACAATAAACTGGTAAATTAGCAGGAAATACGTGACTGAACAATGTGAATTATGCCTTGTCTAGTAATAATTAAGACCGACATGTTCAGTGGCCAATATTCGGACTACATTATCCGCAGCGTTTGTGGCTCGGAATTGCGATGGGTTTACACTCGAATTGAAGGACGATTTACAGTTTACCCGCCATTCCCGTAATTTGGTACACCAATCCAATTTTCCAGTCAATCGGTAACGAAGAATTCTCCTCCTTTATACGGACCTAACTTAAGTTTAAGAGTCGAACCATCTTTGTCTGTTGTCTGGAAGAGATTCCATAACGATAAGGGCGACAAAATTTTGCTGTATCTTTTGTATATTTTCTTTTTTGTCTTGTGTGGTGTACAATAAAGTATCTATCTATGTCGCAAAATGTCCATCAACAAACGCAATTCCAAATTAGATGATGTGTGTATCGGTAAATTTAAGATAAGATTATTTTACGTATTTGATTCCAAGTTAAAACAAATCCACAAAAGAAGTCATACAGTATAAGATATCGAATCCTTAGCTGTTTAAACCCTAGTAACAAGTTGGCGTTAAGAATGAAAAGAACTACAATAATATAACTTTACCCGTAGACTAAGTTTATTTTCCATTCCTCATCAGGAAAGTTTAAAATACTATCAACGCAACAAAAGTTTGAACAGGGAAAATTTTCCTTTGATCTTATTGAAGTGATTATTTAA